CCTGTCTCAAAAAGTAAAAGTAAAAATAAAAGAAATAGAGTTAAATTAAAGCTGCATAAAGATGGAAAACACACAGAGACTCTTGATACTGTATATTATTATGCTCTCTTTGAATTGTTTGAATGCTGAGGAAGGAGTAACAGCTGCTAAAAGATATTTGTTTATAAATGCTGCTGAACTAATTCAAGATAGATATTTTGAAAATACATTGACTTCAAAATTTGGATCTAAGGTTATGATGCTTTGGAAAAGTTCTTCTTTTGTTTTCACAGAGGATGAGACCCTGTGGATTGCTTCTATCCCAATATGGTATGATAGACCCCGTCCTCCTGAAAGGTTGCTATGAATACCCTCAAGAAATTACTTTGCTCAACTGCTGACTGAGATGAATCTAGCACACAGTTTATACCATGAAAGACCTGATTAACAGCACCCCTATACAGCAGGAAGAAGTTTGGAGAGAAATAACTACATCCATATTCCCAAATATTGCTTATAAATGTTCGTTTACATTTAAAGGGGGATATGATATAGATATGAATAATTTGCATTGGTTTGGATTTTAAGGTCAATTTTGTTATATGTATACATATATATATATTTCTGATCTTGATTGAGGTATTGTGATTGTGTAGTTCATTTAAAAATGCAATGTATAATTAAAAATATAAGTTGTTAATTGATAATCATCAATAATAGTCAAGCTTGTAGTAATGTTAGTTTGATTTTCTAGATGTGCATAGATATATTTCAGATAGGCATTCTTCATATCTTTCAAAGACTACAAAACATGGCATTTAATATTTTAATAACTTAGGGCTTTTCATGACAATGAGACACGTCTGCTCCTGGCGGCACCAATCTAATTCAAGAGGAAGATGGGCATCGAAGAGGCTCCTTATGGAGTTGGTTAGCCATTTGGGCAAGAAACTGCTCTTGCCTGGACTGTTATATAAACTGGACACAGAGAACCTGCAGAGAGAGGACTGCTGAACTTGCCTAAAGGTGAGATGATCTTTCGGGGTTCCTGATTCATGAAAGAGTCTGCGAGACATTCTGCAGGACACAGCAGATAGTGACTGAACTGCCTTTGAAATTTCCTGCTTCATGGAAATGTCTCTAGATACTATGGGCCTGTAGGGTGAAGATGGATGCCCCAAAGGTACAGAGGAACTTTGGGTGACTGTCCAGGCAGCAAGATGTCTCTGTCATTTCTAGAGTTTTGGAAGTTGCTTACTTCTTGTTTACTTAGGTAATATTATATCCTTCTGGAGTCTTTGATGGAGTTGAAGAATGGATAGTTATAGTTTTCCTTAGTTATGATAAAAGATAAAATAGATATTTTAACTGTAATTCTTACTCGATAACTGTTTTGTTCTATGTAATTTTACTAAGTTAAAGTGAAAACCTTTCTTTTTTGTTTAAGTAGAAAAAGAGGAAATGATGTAGGTGGGCCTTCTGTTTATGTGTTATTTTCATTGGTTAATAAAGAGACTGCCTTGGCCCTTTGATAGGACAGAAAATTAGGTAGGCGGAGTAAACAGAACAGAAGGCTGGGAAGAGGGCAATGAAGCAGATGCCATTGAGCCAGCCACCAGGTCAGACATGCTGAATCTTTCCCAGTAAGCCACCACCTTGTGGTGTTACACAGATTATTAGAAATGGATTAATCAAGATGTGAGAGTTAGCCAGTAACTAACTCTTAGAGATAATGGGCCAGGCAGTGTTTAAATGAATACAATTTGTGTGTTGTTATTTCCGGGGGGTAAACTAGCCGTGTGGGAGCCGGGCGGGATTTCCTGCCTGTAGCTCCTCGCTACAACACACCACACACACAAGTATACTCACACAACATGCTACATACATACCACATGCACAAGTATATTCAGACAACATACCATGCACACACCATAACTATAAGTATATTCACACATGCCATGCACATAGTACATGCACAAGAATACACACACACATGCCATGCACATACCATAAATACATGTATATTTACACATGTCATGCACACACCACACATACACACAAGTATACTCACACAACATGTCAGGCACACACCATAAGCACAGACATTTTTAAAAGAATAGAGGAGTTGGGTTGGTGTGATGGCTTAGTGCGTGAGGACGTTTGCCATGAAACCTGTCCTGAGTTCAATCTCTGGGATCAACATGGTAGGAGCAGAGACTCATTTCCCACAAGTTGTCTTCTGACCTCCATAAGCACACCAAGGGGGTACAGGACTCTCTCACACACACAGAGGGGAGGGGAGAGGGAGACAAGCGTGTGCAGACTTCTGTGTATGAGCACAAGGAACAATGCTCAGAGCGTAGCCGAGAATGCTCGCTGGAACTCCCCCTGCATTGTGCACTCACTGCGTCTTGCAGGGAGAAGAGAGCTAGAGCTCTGGGGAAGAAGGGACACCACAGGGATGGAGGACTCTGGGCCACAGCCACAGATGCCTGAGAGACCCCAGACCGGACAGTCTTAATCCCACTACTCATTTGGAGGGTCCTCCGAGGTCATAGACTGCTCAGAATCTCTGCCCTCTTTTCTGCACCCTGGTATTTAGGAGAGAAAAGACAAAACTCAAAGAACAGACACAGGACAAAATGCCATAGTGCCTTCAGTTGTCCTGGACTGACTGCATCTGTGACAGGGATGTCAGCAGTTGCCAGGGGGACTGTGAAGTCCACTCTGTGGATGAACACAGAACTGAGCAACCAGGAAAGACGGGAGTGTTGTGGGAGTAACTTCCTCTGCCTCAACCAATAGTCGCTGAAATACGAGCCCACAGTGCAGCGGGGAGTGACTTCCGCTCCGTCAGCCAATAGCTGCTGAAATACCAGCCCACTGGGGCGTGGTATATTTCTCTTTTAAAAAGAGAAGCATATCCGGAATAGGCTCTCTTGGTTCCGGCTCTTGGTTCCGGTGCTTGCTCCTGGCTCCTGCTCCCGGCTCCTGCGACTAGGCTCCCTTCCTGACGGTTTATGGTGTATGTAAGTATTACCCCTCAAAATAAATAACCCCTTAAAACATAACTGGTGTGGGATTGATTCGCCGATACGGGAGAGCAAGCTGTGGAAACAAGTAACTGTTTTATCTGGGGGAGGAGGGCTGAGGCTAGAAGCTTGATAAATGGATGCTGGTGTGGGTATTTTATAGGCCTCAAGTCCTCCCACTTCCTCTATTGGTCCTAATACCTGCCCCTCTCTACCTTTCTGCCATTTCTCCTCCCAGAGTCCTCTGGGATCAAGAGGCCAGCACTTAGGGTGCCAGTCCTGACCCTGCTTTAGGAGCATGAAATAGCAGGGTCTGTGTCCCCACATGGAAAGGCTGCCCAGGAAAGTGCCAGAACAAAGTAGAAATCCCTGTGTGATTCACAGTCCTTCCCTGCCTGCAGCTTTCAAGAGGCCACCCGCATACTGTCCTCAGGAAGACCCCAAGTCTCCCCACCCACCCCCCCACACACACACCCCACCTCCCATCAAGAAGGTACCTCAACACTTCCCTCAGTGGGTGTACATGGAGAAGGTCTAAGCAATCCAGTTGTGATCCAACACTGCCAACCCTCTGTCACAAAGCCACCAGAGATGCCTGGCCTCAACTTGACCTTAAGCCAAGAGTACCCACCTGGGTCTTACAGGGTCACTTCTGGACCAGTAACCACCAGAGTGAACTGAAATGGAAGACACCAGGAGACAGACCACAGCGGGCTGACAGGAAACAGACCACAGCGGGCTGACAGGACACAGACCACAGTGGGCTGACAGGACACAGACCTCAGCGGGCTGACAGGACACAGACCACAGTGGGCTGACAGGACACAGACCACAGCGGGCTGACAGGACACAGACCACAGCTGACAGGACACAGACCTCAGCGGCTGACAGGACACAGACCTCAGCGGGCTGACAGGACACAGACCACAG